GTAAATCCTATCTTTCTGAATCATGTCTACCAACTTACCCACCATTGATGTCAAACTCACAGGTCTATTCCTTCCAGGTTTCTCCTTGCAGCCTTTCTTAAAGAATGGCACAACATTAGCCAACAACACCACCACCACCAACAACCCCCCCCCCACCCCCCTCCGGTCCTCCATTACTTCACCTGCGCTTATAGATGATACAAATATTTCTGCTAGGGGCCCCACAATTTCCTCCCTCAGTTCCCACAATGTCCTGGGATATCCTTGTGTTTTCCAAGACCTCCAGCACTTCCTCTTCTGTAATATGAACTGTTTTCAAAACATCAGTGTTTATTTCCCGGGGTTCTCCAGTCTCCATTTCTTTCTCGACGGTAAAATCCAGTACAAAGTATTCAACGCAATGATGACCTCATTGATCTTTAAGGAACCCTACTCTCTCTGCAGTTGCGCTCTGGCTGTTGATGTATTTGTAGAATCTTTTTGGATTATCTTTAATCTTATCTGCCAAGGCTATCTCATATCCCCTCTTTGCCTTCTTGATTTCCTTCTTAAGAATGCCCCTACACTTTATACTTTTCAAGAGATTTGGTTGATCCCAGTTGTCTGTATGTAATGTATGATTTTTTTTTTTCTTGACTAGAACCTTAATATCTTTATTCATCCATTGTTCCCTAATTTTACTAGCTTTGCCTTTCACTCTAACAGGAACATAATGCCTCTGAATTCTAGGTATCATACTTTTGAAGGTCTCCCACTTGTCAGTCATCCCTTTACCCGCGAACATTCTACTCCAATCAACTTTGAAAGTTCTTGTTTCATACCCTTAAAATTTGCCTTACTCCAATTAAGAACTTTAATTCTGTCCCATTGGCAGGACAGTCTCAACAGAGGCGACACTGTGGTATACAGTGGAAGGAAGTTTTCAACATTGATTCCAGACCCATGAAGTCTGATGGCAACAGATCAAACAGGGACAAAGGAAACCTCCTGCTGATTACCATGTACCGTAGCCCCCACTTATCCACTCCTGGCTGCTGAATCAGCATTTCTGCATGTTGAATGTCTCTTGGAGGAAGTGCTGAGGGTGGGAAGGGCGCAGAGTGTACTTTGTGTGGGGGCTTCAATGTCTGTCATCAAGAGTGGATTGGCAGCACTGCTGCTGACTGAACTGGACAAATCCTAAAGGGCATAGTTGCTCGACTGGGTCTGTGGCAGGTGGTGAGGGAACCAATAAGAGAGACCACATACTTGATCTCATCATTACCAGTCAGCTGCCACAGATGCAGCAGTTCATGAAAGTAATAGTTGGAATGGCAAAAGCACAGTCTTTCTGGAGACAAGATTCATAGACTCCCTACAGTGTGGAAACAGACCCTTCAGCCCAACAAGGACACTCCACCCCTCCAAAGAGTTTCCCACCCAGACCCATTCCCCTAGCCTGCATTTCCCATGTCTAACCCTAAGCAGTAACTTAACCTAAGCATCCCTGGACAGCATGGGCAATTTAGCATAGCCAATCCACCTAGCCTGCACATCTTTGGACTGTGGGAGGAAACCGGAGCACCCGGAGGAAACCCACACAGACACAGGGAGAATGTGCAAAGTCCTCACAGACAGTTACCCGTGGGTGGAATCGAGCCTGGGTCCCTGGCGCTATGAGGCAGCAGTGCTAACCACTGAGCCACTGTGCCACCTCATTTTTGGTTGATTAATTAGAGCAGGTTGATCAATAGTATATACTTTTATATAAAGAGACACTGGTAAAGTTTCCTGTGATGCGCTGGTAGTGACTTGACCTCTGAGCAAGAAGGCGTGAGTTGAAGAATGTCTTGCCTCAGATGAGTCATAACTGTCCACACTGTTTGATGAACAAGTACATAGTATTTGTTATTAGCTTGTTGGCAGGGTATGAGTGTGATTGGGTTGAACTTCAACCTGGATGAATTTTAGGAGTCTTATGGTGCAATGGTAGTGACCTCTGGGTCAGAAGGCCTGGGTTCGAGACCTACCTTCCCTGGAATTGTGTCATTAGCATCTCTGAATAAGTCAATTTTTTTCATGCAGAAACACTTTATTAATACCAGTCAAGCAGACTGGTCAGGAGAAATATGCTTGTAATGCCCTACTCTGTGAATGAAGACAGGGTTGAATTCTTCCTTTGCAACTAGCTATCTGGAGTATGACAGTTGTTGCCTGCATATTTATCCAGAGAAAATAGTTTTGTTGTTCTGTCAAATCCGCCTGTAATTTTGAACACCTATCAAATCTCCTCTTAACTGCCTCGGCTCTAAAGAGGTCAGTCCCAGCCCCTCCACGTACCTGAACTTCCTTGAGAGGAACCCAAGGACTCAGAATTATAATGGCAGCATGCACTTTTATATGCATGTCATAGACTTGGAGCTACAATAGAGGGTTCAACTTCTTTCTATCGTATCACTGACCAGGAATTTCTCCCATACTTACTGTCTGCTGTTGGCATGTATTGAGAGGTTTTGGAATTTGAAACTTGACCTGTTTTGCTGCATCATGACTCCACCTTCCTTTGCCGTCAAGTTCAGTAGTGGGGTCTGAACCCAGAGTTTCTGCTTCTGACACTACCCATGGTGTTACTAATGACAACATTTGTAACTGATTTTGGAGGTGATATTGGAAGCAGAATGAATAGTTAGACTATGTGGCAAATGCAAATGCTTGACCCAGAGGCTGACAGGAGCTGCGAAGACTTTATCAGGTAGGTTGTTTATGATGTTTACAGTTTGTAAGGTGATGTGTGTTGACGTTAAAAGTAGTTGGCATGTTGCTAACTAGAGTAGGTGAAGGGAAAATTGCAAGTGTAGCTGGTCAGATACACTAAGTTTCGCAGCATGTGACAGCAGTAGATGCATTTAGAGAAAGTGAGACACCTTGGAATTCATGCTCACAGATCCCTAAATGTGGCAGATGAGGTGGAAAAGGAAACATATAGGATATTTTCCTTTATTGGACTAAGTATTAAATTCAAAAGCAGGGATGTAATGCTGGGACTTTATAAGATACTGGTAAGGCCATGGCTGGAGTTTTGTGAATAGTTTTAGCCATCACATTACATATGGACATAATTGGGCATAGGGCATAGCCTCAAGATTACAGGGAGCAGATTAGGACTGAATTGAGAAGGAACTTCTTCATCCAGAGGGTTGTTAATCTGTGGAATTCCTTGCCCAGTGAAGTAGTTGACGCTACTTCAATAAACGTTTTTAAAGATAAGGTAGATTTTTTTTGAACAATAAAGGAATTAAGGGATATGATGAGAACGCGGGTAAGTGCGTCTGAGTCCACGAAAAGATCAGCCATGATCTTATTGAATGGCGGAGCAGGCTCGAAGGGCCGGACGGCCTACTCCTGCTCCTAGTTCTTATGTTCTTATGTTCTAATTGCTGTAGACAGAGTACAGAGAAGATTAATAAGAATGTTGTCGGAGTTGAAAATTGCAGCTATGAATAGGCTAGGTTTCTTTTTGTTAGAGCTGAGGTAGATAAGTGATGTCTTAATTCAAATGTAAAAGAGAAATGAGGGGTTTGGATAGAGTGGACAAAGAAAAACCTGTTTCCCCTAGCAGAAAGGTTATTACCAGGGGGCCCAGATTTAAGATGATTGGGTATAAGGTTAGAGGTGATATGAGGAAAAATGTTTTCACCCAGAGTGTGGTTGATGTATGGAACTTTCTGCCTAGTTTAGAGGTTGATGCAAACCCTTATCTGATCTAAAAAGGTACCTGGATGTGCACCTGAAATACTGTGACCTGCAAGATCATGTCTTGGAAAGTGGGATTAGAAAGGATAGTATTTCATTCAGCTAGCACAGACACAATGGCCAAATGGCCTCTTCCTATGCTGTAAGATTTCTATTGTTCTATGGATCTTGGTAAATAGGATTATGTGCTGTGAAGGAATAAATTATGCTGTTTTTCTGGAAAGTGCTGGTCAAGGTAGCTAAATGTTGTACTATGATCATTCAAGGGAAAAATGTGGAAACAAGTTTCCAATTCAACATTGACTGTTTTATCAGAATCCTGTTAATCTTTGGAATTCTTTTCCACAGAAAGATTTGGAGTTTGGAGACTTGGTCATTGCATCGATTCAAGGCTGAATCAGAAAGATTTTTGATTGTTAAGAGGGTTGAGGGTTACGAGGGATGGGCAGAAAAGTGGAATCTGTTCACAGTCAGATCAGCCATAATTTTATTGGAAGGCATTGCTGGCTTGATGAGCTGAATCACCCAATTTCAATGATTTTATGAATGTTTTGGAAGATTGTCAGTGAGATTTCTGAGGTGAAGCATCTTAATTGGCATTGCTAATTAAGACAACAGTAATTTACTTTGAAAATACATTCAAGATCAACACCTTTAGTGTTAGCACAACCATCTCTGAGTCAGGGTTTGTGGATTTAAGTCCCATGTCATAGGCTTAAGCAGATAATCTTGGAAGGCACTCCAGTGCAGTACAAAGAAAGTGCTGCAGTGTCACCTTCTGAATGAAATGTTATATTGAGGCCCCATCTGCTCTTCCAGATGTGTGCAAAAGTTCTCATGATGGAACTTTGAAAGGAGCAAGAGAATTCTGGTTAGAGACAAAAAAACTACAGATACTGGATTCCAAGGTAGACAAACAGGAGCTGGAAGGACACAGCAGGCCAGACTGCTCCTTTCCTCCAGATACTGCCTGGCCTGTTGTGTTCTTCCAGCCTCCAGTTTGTCTACAAGAGAATTCTGGTAAACATTTATCTCTTGTTTTAACATCATTACTATTTGTTGGATCTTGCTACGTACATATTCTATGTCTCACTACCTTACAGTACTGTCTACACTTGGGAAGTGTTTCTTTAGATGTGAAGTGTTTGGAAATATGCTGACACGGTGTAAATAGTATTTTCTCTCCTCAGTGTGTTTTAATATGGAAGTATCGAACACAGTATTACTTAAGAAACCTGTAATTATGATTGTTTATGTTGTTTCTGCAGGGTAAGCTGGCTGTTAATGGAGAAGAATCTGTGAGACAGTTGGAGCAAGTGACATTTCAACTTAACGATCAAATCAGAAGAGTCCAAACAGAGCAAGAGACAATCCTTTGTTCTGTGGGAAAAGAAATTGATGCTGCGTGTGATTTCCTCTCCAGGGATCCTGGTGACAAGTTCAAAGTAATCAATGTAAACTCTTATTGACTTTGTACAACTAACTTCAGTAATTTTCCTCTCCTTCACTATCACCTGCTATGTTGATCTCTGTCATCTCTATTTCATTTTTAATATGGGCCACAGGCAGATGACCTGTATTTAAGCCTTTGTTGTGAGTAGTAGTTGATGAGTACAAGTGGAGATAATTGAGAACAGCTTAGTGTGACTTGCTTTGAAATTTCCTCTGGTCCTTACTGAATAGTTCCTTTGGATTTGTGACTTCTAAACTGTACTGAAGCATGTAATATGGATTCATTCTCCCCCTGTTTCTATAAACTACTTTAAGATCTCAGTGCTCTTCTAATTCTAGCCTCCTGTGCATCCTGATTTTCATCAGTGCATCCCACTGGAGGCTGTTCTTTAATTGGTTCTGACCTCTGGCGTTTCCTTTCTAAACCTGTCTATCCTTCAAAGTCATTATGACACAGAAAGAAGTCAATCAGCCCATCAAATCCATGTCAGCTCTCAGTATAGCAATCTAATCAGCCAAATTCCCCACTTTACCCCTGTGACCTTGAAAGTTCCTTTTCGTTAATTGACTATCACATTCCCTTGTGAAATCATTGTCTCTGTTTCCACCTCTCTGATAGGCAGTTTGGGGTTATTACTAGTTGCTGAGTAAAGGTGAATCTGCCAAAATCCTACCAGACAAATAGGGCTGCTCTCTCATTAGAGAGAGATGATTGGTTTTGTTTAACCTGAGGGTCATTACACCTCAAATGAGGGAAGAGCTTGAGAAGGAGAGTCCTGTATGGTAACCTCAAACAGTACAGGAATTGAACACACACTTATGACATCACTCCTGATCACAAACCAGCCATCCAACCAACTGAACAACTAGAATAACTAGAAATGTTCTTGCACCTTATCTTGAATGAAGGCATCACATTTTCCATTATCTGACCTTTGGTGCCATTCTGTCTTTTAAAGCACTCCTTAAAATGTACGCCTCTGACTCACCTCTCTCAATATTGTTGCATAAAGTTTTATTTGATGATGCTGCAATAGAGCTCCTAGAGACTTTAAATAGAAACATAGAAGTTAGGAGCAGGAGGAGGCCATTCGGCCCTTCGAGCCTGCTCTGCCATTCATCACAATCATGGCTGATCATCCAACTGAATAGCCTAATGCTGCTTTCTCCCCATAACCCTTGTTCCCATTTGACCCCCCAAGTGATATATCTAGTTGCCTCTTGAATACATTCAGTGTTTTGGCATCAACTACTTTCTGTAAGGCTCACCACTCTTTGGATGAAGAAATGTCTCCTCATCTTCGCCCTAAATGGTCTACCCCAAATTCTCATACAGTGACCTCTGGTTCTGGACGCACACACCATCGGGAGCATCCTCCCTACATCTACCCTGTCTAGTTCTGTTAGAATTTTGTAAGTCTCTATGAGATTCCCCCCACCCCCCGCCTCATGTATCTGAACTCCAGCAAAAACAATACTAACCTAGTCAATCTTTCCTCATACGTCAGTCCCAACATTCCCGGAATCAGCCCGGTAAACCTTCGCTACACTCCCTCAAGAGCGAGAGCAAGATCATCCTTCCTCAGAAAAGGAGACCAAAACTGCGCACAATATTCTAGGTGTGGCCTCACCAAGGCCCTGTATAACTGCATCAACACATCCCTGCTCCTGTACTCGAAACCTCTCGCAATGAAGGCCAACATACCATTTGCCTTCTTTACCGCCAGCTGCACCTGCATGCTTACCATCAGTGACTGGTGCACAAGGACACGCAAGTCCCACTGCACACTCCCTTCTCCCAGTTTACAGCCATTCAGGTAGTAATCTGTCTTGTTGGTTTTGCTTCAAAAGTGAATAACCTCACATTTATCCAAATTATACTGCACCTGCCATTGATTTGCCCACTCACCCAACCTGTCCAGATCATGCTGAAGAATCTCTGCATCCTCGTCACAGTTCACCCTCCCACCCAACTTGGTATCATCTGTAAACTTTGAGATGTTAAATTTTGTTCTCTCATTCAAATTATTAATCTATATTGTGAATAGATGGAGTTCCAGCACCAATCCCTGTGGCACCTGCCTGCCAATTTGAAAAGGATCCATTAATTTCTACTCTCTGTTTCCTCTCTGCCAACTAGTTTTCTATCCATCCCAATACACTTCCCCCAATCCCATGCGCTTTAATCTTGTTAAACACTTTCTGAAAGTCCAAATATACCACATCGACTAGCTCCCCCTTGTCAACTCTACTAGTTACATCTTCATAAAATTCCAACAGATTTGTCAAGCATGGTTTCCCCTTCATAAATCCATGCTGACTCTGTCTGATCCTGCCACTGCTTTCTAAATGCTCCGTTATAAAGTCCTTGATAATGAATTTGAGAATTTTCCCCACTACTGATGTTAGGCTTACCTGGCCTATTATTCCCTGTTTTCTCTCTACCTCCCTTTTTGAATATTGGAGTGACATTAGCTACCCTCCATTCTGCAGGGACTGTTTCAGAGTCTATAGAATCCTGGGAGATGACCACCAATGCATCCATTATTTCTAGAGCCATTTCCTTAAGTATTTTACAACATAGATTGTCAAGCCCTGGGGATTTATCCGCCTTCAATCCCATCAATTTTCCCAGCACATTTCTCTACTAATATTGATCTCCATTAATTCTTCCCTCTAACTAAATCTTGCATTCCCATTCAAATACAATTTGTTGACAAAGAATGGGCTTACATTGACACAGCATCTTTCACGTTCTCACAATGCAATTCTTTGTAGAGAATGAGTCGTTTTTGAGGTACAGTGTAGCCATTTTGCATGTAGCAACATGTCACATCCATGTGAGATCCATTGGTATATTTTAGTGATAATAAATTTGTTAATAAATGTTGGCCAGCATACCAGAAGTATTCTTCCTGCTTTACTTATTGACGGTTCGTCTGAGAGGGCAGTTGAGTCATAGAGTCCTTGGAAACATACCCCAAACAAAAGGAAGCACTTTGAACAATGCACCACTTCCTCAACAGTGCATTAAAGGCCGGTTTTTGTGCTTAATTCCCTGGGATGATGCTGGAATTCTCAATGTCTGACTGATTAAAGAAAGCTTTAAGCCTGGCTGACATTAGCCTACAGTACTGTACATAAATCACTGACGATCAATACAATTATTTCATACAGAGACTATTTCGTAGAATATTTTTCTTTCACTGTATTTATAGCAGAAAGTTTCACTTCAGTGAAGATGTTTGAAGAACGAGGGGGTGGATTCATATGTGCAATAAACTCCAGTTTACCCTACATCTCATTTCTGTCAGTCTCAGAAGTTTAGTGATTTATTTTAAGTCATTTTGACTTAAGTGCAAATCATAAAAATTCTTGCTGCATTCATTCCTTTAACAGTACATTGTCCTTATTTATGTATTTTACTTTGAATGTTTTTCAATCCCAGTACTGCACTATAAATCAGTTAACGGGTATTGAAATATTGTGACTGACAATTGAAGTAATAGATTTTTATTTCGCTGCTTTTATTCAGCATGATTATATTTTTGCCACTTGAATTCTGTGCATTAAATTCTATAGTCATTCAAATTGTATTCCATTGATACTTCCACTGTAGTTTTTCCTTGTTGATCAGTTATGGCTCAGTGGGTGATTCCTCTGTCCCTGAGTTACAAGATGCGGGTTTAATTGAGCACAAAAATCAAACCTGACACTGCGATGCAAAACTAAAAATGTGCTGAACTGTTGGGCATAATGTCTTTTGGATGAGGTGTTAAACCATTCAATCTGCCCTGTCAAGTAGACATAACAGATCCCAGAATACTCTTACTCTGAAGAGCCCTGGGCAATAGTTGTGTCTCAACCAGCATCCCAAAGACAGTTATTATCTGGCTATTATCGAATTGCTGTTTGTGGGAGCTTGTAGTGTGCAAATTGGCTGCCATGTTTCTTACATTATAACATGACTACACTTTAAAAGAGGGGGACAGTTAGCTCAGTTGGCTGGACAGCTGGTTTGCGACACAAGGTGATACCAACAGTGTATGTCCAATTCCTGCACAAGCTGAGGTCACCATGAAGGACTTTCCTTCTCAACCTCTCCCCTTGCCTGAGTTGTGATAACCCTCAGGTTAAACCACCACCAGTTGTCTTTCTATAATGAGAGAACAGTCCTGTGGTCTTGTAGGACAGTATTGATTTTACCTTTGCACCTTAAAAAGTATTTCATTATGCGGTGGAATAGCTGGTGGTTGTGAAAAGTGCTGTATAAAGCATATGTTTTCTTGATGTCTAGCAAAAGTCTCTTTGCCTTAATGTTCCAAGACCTCTTTCCAGAAGAGGGTGCAAAGTTATCCCTTATTAATGTCTTACCTTGCTCAAGACAGTAATTATGAGCAATCTTGATTCCAGCTACAGAACTAATATAAAATCATACCTAAAATTAACTTATTGTTTGAAGCACTGTTACTGTAGTTTGTATATAATTTTAGTTGCTGACACTTTGGTGTCATTCTACTCGCACTGAGGAATGGACAATTTCAGGTTATGTAGTTCTATGGTAGCATTTTTTAACTAACTATAATTTCATCAGATTCCTAAAAGATTTCTGAGTAATTTTCTAGTTAAAACCTACTGAAGTGCCAGTTTCCATGCTGATGAACACATATCCAGCACCACTGCATCTTCTGGTTCTCACCAAGTGCATTCACTATGTTAAAATAATACATTTGGATTTCCAAAAGGCATTCAATAAGGTACTGCACATAAGACTACTTAACAAAATAAGAGCCCATAGTGTTGGGGTATTATAATATAGTGGATGGTGGATTGGCTAGCTGATAGAAGGCATAGAGTTGGGATAGAGGGGGCATTTTCAGGATGGCAACCTGTAAGTAGAGGACTGGGGTCATGGATACCCGGGATACAGGGATCGGTGCTGGGGTCACAATTATTTAGAATATGTATTAATGACTTTGATGAGGGAACTGAAATTACATAGTCAAGTTTGTGAATGACATAAACATAGGGGAGAAAGTAAGTACAGAGGATAATGCAAAGAGTTACAGATGGATATAGACAGGCTGAGTGAATGGGTGAAAACTTGGCAGATGGAATAGATTGGTGGAAAATGTGAGGTTGTGCGCTTTGGCAGGAGGAATAGAAGACCAAAATTGGTCATAGTATTCCAGGAATAAAAGAAACAGAAAATGCTGGAGAAACTCTGGGAACATCTGCGGAGAGGCAAACAGAGTTAATTCTAGGTTCCAATATGACTCTTCATTAGAACTGAAATGATCCAGAAAATGTTGGTTTTGATACTGTTGACAAAGGGATAGGAGGAGTGGGTGGAACAGATGGTGAGGGTGTCCAGAGCAAAAGGCAAGGGGAGTGTTAATGGTGGTAAAGAAGGGCTAAGGTGTAATGCTGGTGCAAATGATAGATTTGAAATATGAAAATGAGTTTGTTGCAAAGCCAGCAAGACACCAGAAAGATACAGTGGGTGAGGGAGAGTTGGAATTGAATGGATAACAGAGGTCATGCTCCAAAGTTGTTGACCTCAGTGCAGAGGCCTGAAGTGTTGTTCATTTTCCACTTGGTCACTTCACAACCTGTAGAACTCGCCATTGAGTACAATAACTCTGGAACGTAATCATTGTTCTCAGTGTTGATTGCATGCACACACACGCTCACACTCCCACACTGGGTCATGTATTCACTCTCTGACTGTCCCTCTCTCACACACATACACACACGTACTCTTTCTCTCTTCACACGATCGCACAGTCACTAATTCACTCACACACACATGAATTCACACTCTCTCACATTTGCACTCACACTCACACTCACACTCTCACTCACAGACATGCACACAGCCTCTCCACCTCTAACTTAGCAAGCCCCCAAAGATTCCGATTATGGTCAGCCCTCTCTCTGTCTCTCTCTCTCTCAAACTGACTTATGCATGCGCGCACACATATACTATAAGCCCCTCTCACATACACACACTCACACATGCACATGCGCACTTACAGCCTCTCCACTTCTAACTTATCAAGCCCCCAAAGTTTCCGGTATGGTCAACTCTCATACTCTCACAGCCTGTCACACACTTTGACACACGCACACTCATACTCTTTCACCCATCTCTCTTGCAGTCTCCCTCTCTCACAATCTTCATCTCACACACACATGCACATACACACACACGCACACATGTACATGCACACCCACCCACCCAAATCCGTGCCTTGGTGCATCACCTTGGCTTTGCTTTTAGAACAACGGACCCATTATCTCCACTCACATCCATCATTTACTCCTATTTTACATCTATATCTCTGTACCACCATCAGCACTCCCTTCATCTTTTGCACTAGACACCCATTCCTTTTGTCCCATTTGTTCCTTCTACACCTCTGTCAACAGCATAAAAACCCCCATTTTCCAGACCCTTTTAGTTCTGAAGAAGAGTCATATTAAAGTTGAAGTGTGAACACTGTTGCTCCCTCCACAGATGTTCCCAGACCTGCAGTGTTTCTCCAGCATTTTATATTTTTGTCCCTGGAATACTGTGAACCAATTTGGTCCCCTTATCTAAGGGAAGATATGCTCACACTGGAGGCAGTCCCTAGCAGATTAACTGGGTGAGTTCCATTCCTTAAGAAGAGAGGCTGATTGTACTCATTGACATTTAGAAGACTTCTCGCACAGCAAAATCACACAACAGTAAAGTGAACAACCAAGAGCGGCTCAAAGATAGCAAGAACTGCATATGCTGGTGCCAGAGACAACACATATCGGGTCAACTTCCCTGCTGTGTTCCTCCAGCTCCACACTGTGTTAACCAAGAGCAGCTGACCATATTGGAATATTTTGGGGCTTAATAAGTTAGAGGCTGTTTCCCTTTTGGAAGAGTCTAGGGACCAGAGGACATAATCTCAGAGTAAAAGGTCATCCATTTAAGACAGATAAGTGAAATTTCTTCTGAGAATGGTGAATCTTTGAAATTCTTTGCTGCAGAGGGCTGTCAAGACTTGGTTGTTAAGAGTATTCAAGGCTGAGATATTAAGAGAATCAGTAGATGTGGGATAAGACAGGAAGGTAGATTTGAGGATTATCAGATCAGCCATAATCTAATTGAAAGACAGAATGGACATGATGGGCTGAATGGCCTACTTCTATGCCTAAGTGTAATGGTTTTATGGTCTAACTTGTGAAATGGGGGAGAAAACAATCAGTTAACTGAATTTAAGGCAATAATTCTGTCTTAGGTTATAGTCTCTATTTGGGAACAGCTTTAGCAAGCTGCTGTTGGCCATCCTTCAGTTGGTTATTCATCTCATTGTTCTCCGATTTTGCTGTGCATGAAGTTGCTGCCATCTTTTACAAGAGTGAGCTCTGGAATGAAGGACTTGTCATATGAGGAGCAGTTGAGGACACTGTGTCAATATTCAATGGACTTTAGAAGGATGAATGCTGCTCTGATTGCAACTTACAGAATACTGAGGGGCCTGGATAGAGTGGACGTGGAGATGTCTCCAATGGTAGGAAAGACTAGGACCTGAGGGCACAGCCTCAGAATGAAGCGAGGATACTTTAGAACTGAGATGAGGAGGAAGCTCTTCAGTCAGAGGGTAGTTAATCTGTGGAACTCATTGCCGCAGAGGGCTGTGGAGGCCAAGCCATTCAGTGCATTTAAGACAGAGGTAGATAGAGTCTTGATAGGTAAGAGGGTCAAGGACTACAGGGAGAAGACAGGAGAATGAGTTTGAGAAACATATCAGTCATGATCGAATGGCAGATCAGACTAGATGGCCTAATTCTGTTCCTGTGCCTTATGGTCTTTGTGTACTAAACCATTTGCATTTCTAATGCTACTTATTGAATGTGAAGTTTGAAAAGATGTGGTAATGCATGTGATTATGTTTTTCTGATTTATGATACATATAAACAACTCCAACAAGAGAAGGGATTGCCCCTTGACATTCAATGGCATTATCACTAAATCCCCTACAATAAACATCGCTAACTCCCCTCCTGTGTCCCCAAAGTCAATCCTCCATCTTCAAGGCACAAGTCAGGAGTGTGATGGAATGTTTTCTTGACTGGATGAGTGCGAATCCAACAATACCCAAGAAGCTTGACATTATGCAGGATAAAACAGCCTACTTGATTGGCACCACATCTACAAACATTCACTCCCTCCACCACCGACACTCAGGAAAGGCAGTGTGTGCCATCCACAAGATGCCCTGCAGAAATGCATCAATGTTCCTGAGACAGCACCTTCCAAACCAATGACCACAATCATTTAGAAGGACAAAGGCAGCAGATAAAAGGGACCACCACCACCTGCAAGTTCCCTTCCAAGCCACTCACTATCCAGACTTGGAACTAAATCGCTGCTCCTTCACTGTCTCTGGGTTAAAATCCTGGAACTCCCTCCCAAACGGCATTGTGGATGTACCTACAGCAAATGGACTCTAGTTGTCCAAGAAGGCAGCCCACCACCACCTATGCAAGTGCACATTGAGATGTCCAATAAATGCTGGCTTATATCAACCATGACCAGAAACCTTTCACTTTGTACTTAACAAGGATCTGTCCCTGCCTTAAAAACATTCAAACACTCTGCTCCCACGCCTTTTGAGGAATTAAGTCCAAGAGACTTGTGATCCTCTGTGAGAGAAACATTCTCATCTTTTCTTATTTTTAAAGGATGACCCCTTGCTGTTGATTTGACAACAACTGAATACGTCCTTTCTACATCCAACTAATTAAGATCACAAGTCAGAATCTCTGCACTTAACTTTTCTCCTTGTAACTCCCCACCAGGTACTTTTAGCCCAGATGTAACAATGAATGTTTTCTGAGCATATACGCAGCTGATATGCTGCAAACAGACTTAAATGTCTTTGTATATGATGGAAATGTTATTCTGCAGTACAGCAATAACTTGTGATGGACTGAGTAGCAAATCAGGTTTGGATTTGAATGAAAAAAACTGCAAGTGATGAAAGGTATCTAACTGGAGTTGGCGTGAGGTTGCGTGCTAGTGACCTCCTGATTGCACACTGTGTACAAGCTCAGAGATTGTGGCTCAGGGCTTCAGCAGCAAGTCAATCAAGGTTCATGCTGCAGAATCATGAGCCTAATTAATTTCTTTACAAACTTTTATAAACTGTATGGAGCTGTCACCTGGAAAGTAGTTTTTTTTTTTGAGTGATCATTCTTTCCAAATTCAATCTCTTCCATTAACAAACAAACCGCAATCTAATTTTCTTTGCAGGCAATAACGCTTACACATGGATTAGAAAACGATCCCCATCGCTGGCTGGCTGAAGTGAAGGTATGTATTCAGGGTGCTGACATGATTGACTACTCTGGGGTCTCTATGGCACTGGTAAATGTACGTAAAAAAGTCTTTGACGTTCTGGCAACAATGCTTTCAGAATCATGGAACACAGCAATGCATCTGCATTCATAGAAAATGTTCAAGAGAACTTGAGGTTATGTGGTGAGGCGAGGCTGTAAGATCTAATCATAGCCTTTAAAATTTTGAACCAAAACAGATGTTGAGCCTTCTGAAGAAGGGTCACTGGACCCAAAACGATAACTCTGATTTCTCTCCACAGATCCTGCCGGCCCTGCTGAGCTTTTCCAGCACCTTCTGCTTTTGCTTCTGATACCCAGCATCTGCATTCTTTTGGTTTATATTTAAAATTTTGAAGCTTTTTGTACAGTAAGTCTGGAGAAGACGTTTCCATGTTCAGAAACCAAGCCCCCATCAGTCACTAGTAAATCCAATAAGGAATTTGGAAGGACCATGTTTTACTACAGAATTGTTAGAATGCACAATTTGTTTGGTCCATTGATAAAAATTCTAGCTGCTCCATTCTCTTCACATAACTGAAATCCCTGTAACATTCTGGTAAACCTTCTCTGTACCCTCACCAAAGTCTTCACGTTCTAAAGTGTGGTGCCCATAATTGTACACAATACTCCAGTTGCGTCCTAACCATTGGGTTGTAAAGATTTAACATAATGTCCCTGTTCTTATACTTAGTTCACCTATTTACTAAGCAGTGTATCCCATTATCTTTTCTCAAAATGCCTTAACAAAATATCTGGCTCCCTTCACAGATTTGTGAATTCCTTTCTGGTCTCGTACCCTTTCTTTACATTGTACCATTTAGTTTATATTTTCCTACTATGTTGTTCCTCTCAATGTGTGTTACTTCATATTTCTCCATAAAAATTGCATCACCTGTGTGTCTGCCCATTTCACCCGTCCCTCTATGTTCTCTTGACGAATGTTACAATCCTGCTCCGTATTTATGATGTTGTTAAGTTTTGTATCTTCTATGATCTTTGAAATGTTACTCCTTACAGCAAGTCCTGTTCATTTATAATATAAAAACCAATGGTCCAAATACCAACCACCAAAGGGGACCAACTGCATAATTATCATGAAGAAGATAGGAGTGGAGGAATGTGCAGAAAGAGTTACAAGATAGAGAGTAGGATGAAGCCTGTTTAGAGCACAGACAGTGGCCAATAGGCCAAAGGGCCTGTATCTATACTGTCAGTTCTATCAGATTTCAAGATAAGTAGAAAGGCCCAGGCTTGTAAATAGCTTTGTCTTTATCCTGATATACCTGTTATTAAAGAGTAATATTTAGAATACTTCAGTTTTCCTTTACAGCGCTTCATAAAAGAATAAAGCAACTAATCTTAGAAAATGGCTCATTTAAATAAATTGAAATAAACTCCAAGGCCAAATCCTAAATTTAAACTTACATGTGAAAGTTAATTTTAAATATGTTAACAGACGACCTGTGCAGTGGGGTGCAGTTTTAAAATTCTAGGATGCCTGAAAACAATTCTGGAAGATAGAATACCAGTCTGAGCATAGCATTGCTTCCGCAGCTGGAGAGTACAGTCAGGCTTTCATTCTCATTGTAAATGTTGTATCATGCAGGTTTTGTGATTATTAGATTTTTTTTAAAGAGGATTTGCACTTTCTGTATCTCTCAGCGTGGTGAGATTAGGAATTCTTCCAGCAGGAAAAGAATGACCCTCATCAGATGTCACTTGCTCAAACATGCTCGTGTTGCAACTTAAAAGTAAACCATTCCAATGTGCACAAATTACTTTTTCCTTACTCCCTGCAAAATAAACAAGTGAAATGGACCTGACGCATTACTTAAGGTGAAGCATTAATTCTGTACTGTAGTATGCTTTTTTGTTTATTAAAATTTTCAAATGTCAAAGATTGGATGTATTCCTTTGGACTCTTAGAAATCCATTGATCATCTGCGATAGTCCACATAATGATCTTTGGTAAAACAAGAACAATTGTGCAAAAAAAATGATGTTGAAAGTATACAAATACTTTGGGGCCCAACATCAACATTTTACGGGTTACCATTGACCAGAAATTGAGCTGGACTAGCCATATAAATACTGCATCAAAAGAGCAGGCCAGAGACGAGGAATTCTGCAGTGAGGATAACTCAGCTTCTTTCTTCCCAATGTCTGTCCACCATCTACAAGGAATAAGTTAGGAATGTGAAGGAATGCTCTCCATTTGTCTCTATGGATACAGCTCCAACAACACTCAAGACATTCAACTCCATCCAGGACAAAGCTGTCTGCTTGATTAGTACCCCATCAACCATCTTCAGCATTCAAACCTTTTACCACTGGCACTTTCTGGCAGCAGTGTATACCATTTACTAGATTCACCACAGCAACTTAGGGGCAGCACGGTGGCTCAGTGATCAGCACTGCTGCTTCACAGCTCCAGGGACCCTCGGGCTACAGTCTGTGTAGAGTTTGCACATTCTCCCTGTGCCTGTGTGGGTTTCCTCCCACAGTCCACAGATAGGTAGGTTAGGTGGATTGGCCGTGCTAAATTGCCCATAGTGTCCAGGGATTTGCAGGCTGGGTGGAATAGCCAAAGGAAATGCAGGGTCATAGGGATAGGGTAGGGCTGGTTCTGTGTGGGATGCTCTTTGGAGGATTAGTGTAGACTTGATGGGCTGAATGGCTGGCTTCTCCACTTGTAGAGATTCTATGAGTCTATGTTTCTAACTCACCCAGGGTCCTCTATCATCACCTTCCAACCTGCAACTGCTACCATTTTTAGTGATAAGGGAACAGATACATGGGCAGACCACCATCTTGTAAACTTCCTTCCAAGTCATGCATCTTATGTGGAACTATATCACCATTCCTTCACATCTGCTGGTCAAAACCCTGGAACTCCCTCGCTAATAGCACTATAGATATATCAATATTATATGACTGAAGCGGTTCAAGAAGACAGCGCATCACCATCTTCTCAAGGGAATGAGAATCCTTAAATAAGTAAACAAACAAGTCTTTTTAAAAAAAGAAATGTTCCATCCAGGGGAAGCTGGCTCTACTGCTTCTGGTGAGTATTTAACTGATATCATGTTCTTATTGTGTTAGAAATAGATACCTCAGCAATTATTAATGCATGTTATATAATGTGCTTGGTAATAATTTAACTGCAAGCACTTTTGAACTAAATTAGTAAATTTTTTGGGGGCATGCATGAAGCTGATGCACATTACTATTAAAACATTGAGAATTTTGATACTGTGTTTTACTTCAATTGATATAATCCCATGCTAGTTAAAAAAACATGTTTCGTCTTTCTGTAGATAAAGAAATCCTGAAGCACACCTCCTGATCCCTTGCAGGGAGAGAAGACTCATGCATATCAGGAGGAAAATCAGGTGGCTGAGGAAGATCCCAAAATGAATCCATGTAGGGAGCAGCACACTTTACTGCTGATTAAAACAAGAAGTTTTAGAGCCAAAAAAAAGTCTTGTACCTGTCACCAATCTGTAGTGTCACTACATTCCATTCCTGTCCAGAAATGCTCTATTTTGCCCATTGATGGCCCAACTTTGCAGTCAGCTTCAATGATCTTCTGTTCTGATTTCTTTGACACTTATCCTGCAGAGAGAAATCATTTTGCCTGACTTAGCTTCTTTCTTGCAACTGGGTGTCTTCTCATATGGTCGAGCTTTTACCAGCCTGATTAATTTACCTCACCCAGTCCCCTCCTTAATCTTCAAATGTCAATTAATGTCATCTCTAAATTGTCACCTGTCTCGAGAAAACAAACCATTTTTCCTTCATCTCCTACCTAGAATTTGTGGTACCTGATATCTTGTTATTTGCTCTTCCTGTACCCTCTCATGGGCAGTAATAAGCTATCAGTGGCAGTGATGGGATCTGCTGATAACACAGAAGACAGGGCTTGATCAGTACTTTATACAGCAACAAAACAACTGTGTTTTAGCCAGACCATAAAATTGAGACATCTCTCACAGGCCCAATATAAATGAGAGCTAAATATTAACCAGAGTTCATAGATGCCAACCCCCAACCACTTCCAAAAGGAAACTCTCAAGAATTTAGCCTCAAATCAGAAAGTAGAGAAATATGAATGTTGGATCAAAGAGTCAGATTTCTGATATATGTGCAGTTTTGGTGAACCAATCAGTCCTCGCAATGACAATTGAGGTGCTACTTCTCAAGCCTACAGAGAGTGGGCTAACACCCGCTGAATTACATTGCAGAGTTTTCCACCTTTTAATATGTTGTTTCAAATGAGATTGCATACAAATTCTATGATTCATAAGTTTTAAACTGTTTACAATGTTATTTTTCTTAATGTGTAAGTTTTCTGTTCTCTTTGGAATAAAATGTGATCACATATTATTTGTTGCAAGTCTTTTTTAATGCTCTTTTGCACAATTCGTGCATACCCTCATTATCGCAGTGAAGCTAGGCGTGCAACTTTGGAAAATACCTAGATTTCTAATGTGTTGTTGCTCTTCATTTGCACTTTAATGTATTAAGTGACCTAGACTGTATTATTTTGACTTGATATTCCTTCCTGCAGCCACACACCTGATCTGAGTCTAAGTTTCCAGCTTAATCCTGTCATCTGAACTGTAAAATTTAAACAGCTCTGCTTGCTTCTGCCTCTGCCCCATGATGTTGAGATACCAAGCCTTCATCTGCTATGCCAGGCTGATCAACTAATCATTGATTTCTTAGTTGATCTCCTATTCTCCACCCTCCAATTTGTTCTGAGCAACACTGCTACACACATTTTCCCTTGCATGTACTTACCTATAACCAACATCCTTGCTGACCAAGACTGGTTTATGATATCTCAACATAACTCATTTGAAATTCATGTTGTCTTCTATAGCTCCCAGTCATCATGCACTACTTGATCTGTGTAGTATTGTATCCTGCCATGTGTGATCTGTTCACCTGAGTCAATTTCTGCATATTCTTCTCTACTGTTGCCCCACCATTGCTGGCAGTATACAGCCACTTTGCTGTTTGGATTTCGTGTAAACCTCTCTGCTGCTCTCTTTGTTGTTAGATATCTCATCTAAACCCATCCATTTGCCTAAGCTTTAAATCACCTCTCCTAATTTTATGCTGTTTCCTTCATGTCCATTCTCCTTGCACATTTTTGTGAAATTCTTCAGAATATATTTTAATGCTAAATGTACTGTATCAAACTAAGTAGTAGTTGGGTTGTCTTAAACTGACAAAGAAAACAGTTCATAATTTGGAAAATTGTTCAAACCTTAATCCTGGAATGAGCAGATTAGCTTTCTCCCATAAGGCATACAGGCTATGACTGTATCCTCTGGCGATTAGAAGAGTTGGAATCCCCTTGAGGTGACTTAACTGGGTTGATGTTGAAAGGATGTTTCCTCTAGTGGGAGAAGCTAGAACTAGGAGTCTTAGTTTACAAATAAGGGGGCGTCCTTTAAAATCAGAGATGAGGAAACCTTTTCTGCGTGTTCCGAGTCTTTGGAATTGCCTTCCTCAAAAGTCAGTATCATAGACTCAGACAGTACGGAAACAGACCCTTCGATCTAACTGGTCCATGCTGACTAAGTTTCTCAAACCAAATTAGTCCCATTTGCCTTCATTTGGCCCATATCCCTCTGAACCTTTTCTACTCATGTACCCGTCCAAATGTCTTTTAAATGTTGTAACTGTACCTGCGTCTACTACTACCTCAGGCAGTTCATTCCACATATAAACTGCCATCTGCGTGAAAACATTGCCCCTCATGTCCCTTTTAAATGTTTCCCCTCTCACTTTAGAAATATGCCGTCTAGTTTTGAATTCCCCCACCATCATGAAAAGACTATTTCTATTCACCTTATCTATGAATCTTTAAATATTTTGAATGCAAAAGTAGATTCTTAATTACCACAAAATATTATTAGGGATCTGCAGGAGTATAGCTTAAAATGAGGTTAAAATTAGATCAGCCATGAACCTACTGAATGACAGAGCGGGCTTGAAGGGCTGAGTGGCCTACTCTTGTTCCTTGTTCGCATGTTAATAAACAATCTGTGATTTATTGTAATGTATTGCTAGTGTGCTTTTTAATAAGTATGTGCTTCTGCTTGTTTATCACATACTAGAAATATTTAAGTTTGTGTTTTAAAGTGCATTTATGTTTTGATTTGTGAGCCATTATCGTGAAGTTAAGTGTTGATAGTTTTATGCACAGTATAAAAGGTAACATGTTAAATTTAATCCCATGGTTGAAAACGTTAATTCCCCAATGAGTGTGCATTGGTGATGAAGTTAGGATGGGCAACGCTGGGTAAGTCCAGTGTTAATCTCTCAGTATGAAGCTCAATTCCAGTTTTATGTTAGATCTGGATTTTGGTTAAAGAAATGAAAATCAGTCATTGGGCATGGAAATTAAAACCTTGCCCTGAAGTTTGGAAAATGTGAATATTTCATTGGATGATTGGTGCATGTTCTGACTTGATCAAGTCCAGAGTAGGAAGACCTGTGGTGTCTTTACTGCCCTACCACCGATTCAGGATCTAAATGGACGATTGATGCTCATTTGAGGACTTCATCACACATTGATGGTAGTGGCCAAGGGACTCATCATGTGGAAGCCTAGAAAGTAAACCGCTTGTTGGGGGAGGGCACCCTCGATCAAAGGCATTCAGTATTGGGAAGAAGGGGCCCAATGAGAGTCAACCTCATGACCCCTCACTCCACAAACCTATCCAGCTTTCTGCTCACCTGCAAGCAGATTTAAAGCTTTGGTTTCATACTTATCTGAAATCAAAATCTTTTCAAATCTCCTTTATATCATTATGTTATATTTTTGCTCAATATATTAAAAAAAAACTTGCTTTGCTGTTCGGTTAAAAATATCACAAAACACCAGGAATCAATACAGTAGCTTCACATGATGCACCGTTCCTTGCCAGGAAACTTTCTTTGACAGTAGACTGCATGTAAACATGAGAGCAAATAAGTTGAAATGTTTCAGGCCAGATAATTTTCTTTCAGAACAGGAGCACATTACAGCTGGTAATGGGACTGTTCCTGGTCCGGGGGAGTTCACCATCACTATCATTCAGTAGGCTAATTTTTTCACCATTTTCCGAAATTATAGCATAGTCATACACCAAGAAGGTGCCCTCTCGCATCAAGTAGAGTAGATATCGCAGTTCCTTTAGGTAATGTTAGACCTCTTTTGACTGTAAAATGAGTGAAGAGTGACTCAGACATCTTTTCCCTTGTGACTGTAGTAGTGTTTGTACAGATACCTGACTATGATGAATACATTGATGAAGGAATGCCATTGTTGTTTAACAGTGAAGGTCAGTGAGCTTGACTGTAGCTAAGTTTGGAACAGAAAGGCAGGTAGAGAGCAGAGAAGCAGGCCATCTTGATGGTTGCAGGTTAACCCCTTTTAAAAGCACCAACACAACTTTTTTCGTTCCTGTAATAGATTTTATTTTTACAGACCTTAAGAATGTATCAGTTTTGGATAAAATTTGTGACCACTTTAATATTTTCAGTTCATCTTTGCTCAGATCATATTTGCCTGAACAATATTTTTTGTGCAAAACACTGTTGATCAAAATTTGTTAGCCTTCTGGAAATCTAAGTTCAGATGCTAGGAGGATCTTCACACTCTAGAGTGATGCCTCTGATAAGGTGGACTGCTGGGTGCTTTTGTGAGATTCTTTTTTTAAAATCACTTATAAGAACTTGGATCTGATCAAAATTTGAGTTTGCTGATGCCTTTAAACCAATTTAACTTTTAAATTACAAATCCATAATTTGGATCATTGAATCCTGTTAAACTGACCTACAGGTTAAAATGAAAATGAGACAGAGAAGGACAGACAAGTATGATGAAATAAAGTAGAACTTATTAAGTAAAAGTTCAGCAAACTTCACAAACATGATGTCTTAGGGCATGGACGCTCTAGATGCTAATAGTATAGTTGAATTGTCTTGGTATCAATGCATCTCAGGAAAGTTTTCACCATGGGAGTGATGATGTTGATTGTGCCCTAAATGACTTGAAACCTATGGTATTAATCCCTACTTTTGGGATTTCTTGTGCCATATTTGGAAATTGCTTGTATTAACTGTCATTTGGATAGAAGTTAAATCGTGAGATTTCTCTCCCTCCCTTCATAGCTGAAGTCATTAACAAGTAACTGAAGTGGACAGTTACAACAAGTGTTCATTCCAACACTTGATGCCCCGATGTAACATGAAGTTGTCTTGTGTCAAAACATATGTTTAGCTGGCTTTTTCAACATTTTCACAGATATATAAAAACAATTCATTAGTATTAGAGTTAAGCGATGCCTCTTGTGTTAAAATGGGGAAAAAAAACATAATTTGCCTTGAATATTCTATTATTGATTATACTTAATTAATCAACATGCTGGAAAACTATTCACATGAAAAGGCCATGTGTGATTTGTGATGCTGTGAGCTTTCATGATGTGATAGGGAGGGACACGTGCTATGATTCCTTAAGAGGCTTTCAGTCTGTCTCTAAAACAGGGGCGCTGTTTGTGAACACTTCAGCCAAGTTTACTCTTATCAATAAGTCATTTCTCATGTACTGACAAATTTGCATTTGTCTTCAAGCTGTCTCTGCAGTTTTGATTTGGTATCAACTTGATCAATTTAACTGTTAATTACCTCTTTCTCAGCAGGCAAAACCTAAACTAGTTTATTCAAAATGTGATTAATATAGGTTTCCTGAATGTTAGTTGTAATTAATAACAAGCCCTGAAAATAGTATATTATCCAAATTTTAGACAATAGTGTAACTCAAAGGACCTCTGATCATTATTACTAAAATGTGGAGGTGCCTGTGTTGGACTGGGGTGGACAAAGTCAGAAGTCACACAACATCAGGTTACAGTCCAACAAGTTTATTTGAAATCACCAGCTTTAGGAGCACTGTCAGGTGAGGTGACAAAGGAGCAGCGCTCCAAAAGCTTGTGATTTCAAATAAACCTGTTGGACTGTAACCTGATGTTTTGTGACTTCTGACATCATTACTAATTCATATGATCTAAATTCCATTCCTTCCTTCCTGTTCAAAAGTTCTGACTAATTTTGATCAGAATTTGATACAAATGGTATTTCAGAATCTGACTGACAATATTGCTTTTTAGACCAAGCTACAGTGGCTATGTGAAGAAGTGAAGGAACGAGAAGGACGAGAGCTCAAACTACGATACCATCTCCGACAGTGTCGTGGGCAGTTGAAGGAGCTCCTACAAGACAAGGAGTCAGAGAGCCAGCTTTTCATAGAGCAAATCACAAAACAAGAACATCTCCTTGAGGAAATACACAGGGAAAAAAGAGGTTAGTCCTGTAACTTTTCATTGTCAAGCTGAGATACAAGCCAGATATAGCTAAGAGAGGCAATAATACATTTTTGACCAACACCAATACACTTTCTCAAGGTGTTGGGTTGGGAGGAAACATTCAGTGTTTGTAATTAAAATCCATGGCGATCTCCCACAGTGATTGCATTGTGGAACGATGAGCTATTACTGAATGCAGTCATTGGTCTTTGTTGAAATCTCTGCACATAAAAATAGTAAAAAGAAAGTTGATCAGATAATGTATAATGTGGAATTCCAGCTGTAGGATTGTGAGGTTAAAACGATTGTAATTATTTTGACTTCCTGCTGTTGCCGTTGCCGAGTGAGAGTGTATCACAAATGAGATTTTATTTGTCTATACCTCTTTAAAGAACAGCAAATCTATTGTATTGGAAATGTTGTTATGATTCAACTATCTAAAAGAGCTGGTTTCATTTGCAAAATTCGCATAAGTACTGCCCAACAGGAAGCATCTATAATGAGTTGAGATGCATACGGTCAGAATTACTAGTTGTAGACAAGCAAAAGGGAAAGTAAGGAACATGGAAGAAGCCCAGGTTGTGTAGCATAGTTGATGTGCAATCTGAATATCATAACAGACTTGTATTTTTGTGTAGTTTTTGTATTTCCAGAAAATAGGAACAGGAGTAGGCCGTTCAGTCATCGCCCCAGCCTGCTCTTCTGGATTATGGCTGATTACCTCACTAGTGCCATTTTCCTGCACTATCTCTGCATGACTTAATGTCATTAGTCTACAGAAACCTATTTATTCTATCTTGAATATGCCCAATGATTGGGCTTTCTAAGCCTTTCGGACTAGAAAATTCCAAAAATTCACCAACCCCTGAGTGAAAATATTCCTCATCATCTCAGTCCTAAATGGTCTGACCCTTATCCTGTGATTACACTCTCTGGATCTAGAGTCACCAACTGGGGAAGCATCCAATCTATATCCACCCTGTTGCACCCTGTAAGAATTTTGCAGGTTTGCAGGTATCTTTGAAACTCTAGAGAATGCAGAGTGGAATCCAGTTTCCTCCATATCTCCTCAAGAGATAATTCTGCCATCTCAGGAATTAATCTGGTGAACCTCCATTGCACTCACTTTCTGGCAAGTATATCCTTCTTTAGACAAGATCACCCAGATCCTTTTGGACACCTGCACTTCCCAACCTTTATAATTTAGGTAATAAATTTCTTTCTTATACCGAAGTGAATAAATTCACACTTTTATGTATTACATTCCATCTACCATTTTCTAGCCCTATTACTTAGTGTGTTTAAGTCTCCTGAAACTTCTTTGCATCCTCCTCACAGTTTGTGTTCTGACCCAGTTCAGTGTTATCAGTAAATTTCAAAATAATTTGATTGGTTCTCACATCCAAATCATTTATATAGATTGTGAACAGACCCTTACAATATCCATTAGTGACAGCCTACCATTCTGGGAATGATTTGTTTATTTCTAGTCTTTGTTTTCTGTCTACTGACCAATCCTCAATCCGTACTAGCAAATTTCCCCTAATTCCAAGCCCTCTAATTTTATTTGCTAATCTCCTGTGTGGCATCTTGTCAAAAAGTTTCTGAAAATCCAAATACACTATATCTACTGGTTCTTCTTGTCTATAAGCAATATCCTTGAAAATTATAGAATTTTACAGAATTTTACAGTACAGAAGGAGACCATTTGACCCATTGTGTCTGTACTGGCTCCTAAAAGAGTTACTTATCTAATCCCATTCTCCAGCCTTGTCTCCGTTGTCCTCTAAATTAATTACTTTCAAAGAAATAGCTATCTCTCCTTTGAATTCTCTTATGGAATCTATCTCTACCACTCTCTCAAATATTAACAACTCTCTGAGTAAAGAAGTTTCTCCTTATCTCACTCCTCGCTCCCTTGCTGACAATCTTGAAATTGTGACCTATAGTTACTGACATATCAACTAGTAGAAACAATATCCTTCTTCACCGTGTCAGAATTGTTCATAAATTTGAACACCTCAGTAAGGTCACCTCTTAAATCTTCAGAATTATAAAAAGATACAATGCATTCACACTTTCTATTTCTACTTCCTTCAACACTCCAGGATGATGTTCATCTGGTTCAAGCAATTCATCAACCCTCAATCCAGCTAATTTTACTAATATTAATTTCTTTTAGTTCTTCAGTTATACAAATCCTTTTGTTTCTAATATTTCTGGGAGACTTTCTATACCTTCTTCTGTGAAGGCATATAGCAAATAACTTCTGAGGATAATTCTGAGCAAATAGTTTCTGAAGAAGGCTCTAGGCCTGAAACGTCAGCCTTCCTGCTCCTCTGATGCTGCTTGGCCTGCTGTGTTCATCCAGCTCTACACCTTGTTATCTCTTATAGCAAAATAACTGTTTAGGTTCTCTGCCATTTCCCTGTTCTCCACTATAAACTCTCCATGCCCCACCTGTATAGAGCGCACATTTATCCTCACTAATCTTTTACCTTTCACACACTGACAGAAGCTTTTACAGTCTTCCTTTCTGTTCCTTGCTAGAATGTATTCATATTCTCCTTTCCTTCGCATTATGAAGTTCTTAGGCCTTCTTTATCAGGTTCTAAATGGCTTCCAAACCTCAGGTTTACTGGTATTTCAAGCTTCCATTTGTCTAATGCAAATTTTCACTTATTTTCTTAACCACAGTTGATTTACCTTTTCTTTGAGTATTTGGGCCTTGAATGAATTTATATATGTTGTAGATCTTGGAGTATTTCATCAAGTATTGGCTAGTTCCTATAAGCCATTAATTTTTTTTAGTACATTTTCCCAATTGACCCAGGCCAACTGGCCCGTCATATCCTCAAACCTGAGCGAAGGAAACTGTGACTCTAGTTTCAAGTAACCATTATCACACTCAAAATTTATTTCAAATTCTATCTTATAATTGTCACTAATATCCAAAGCTCTGTCAGGCAGAAGATACAGAAGCCTGGAACATGCACGAGCAGGTTTAGGAACAGCTTCTTCCCAGCTGTTATCAGACTGATGAATAGACTCTCTAGCCTCAAATAACGCTGATCTTGCTGACATTGATCTTGCCTAGCGCACGCTACGTGCAATGTAACCTGTCTAAGTCTTTTTGATCCGTACATTGTTTGCTTACTATGATCTGCCTGTAATGCTCATAAACAAAGCTTTTCACTGAATTTCAGTGCATGTGACAATAAATCAATCGATTTACAGCAAGGTCACTAACAAATAGCACATTCTCATTACGCATCAAATCCAAAATAGACTGAATCCTATTTGGTCCTTTAACCAACCATTTTAGAAACCCATCTTGAACACACTTCAGGAATTCATCCTCCATAGCTTCAATACTGACTTGGTTGACCCAGTCCACATGTAAATTGAAGTCATCCATTATACTCTATTGCACACGCTTTGTGTATCTCTAATTTCCTGATGTATAACATGCCCAAAATTAGTACTGGGTTGGCGTTGTATAAGCACTACCTTTGCTGCCCCTGATTGTTTCTTAGCTCCACCCAAATGGATTTTCCATCTTGATCCTTCAATCAAAGATCATCTCTTACTAATGTGCTGCTGTTGTCCCTTATTAGGAGTTTCTATTCCTCCTAAATATAGATTATCCTTGTCTATTCTGTTATCAATCTTGGTCACCCTGTAGTCTACCCTCCGCAATGGCAATTAAATCAAATTCATTTACCTCAATTTGTGCACTTGAATCATTAATATTATTACGAATGCCTTGTGTGTCCAGATGGCATCTTTAATTCAGCTTTTTTAACATTTTCCTTTATTTTGATCCTAGAAAATGTGGTATTTCTTATAGCATCCTTCACAATCCTTAAATGCTTTACAGGCAAATGATATTCGTTTTGAACAGTAGTCACTGTTGTAATATAGGATGGGATGACACAGTGGCTCAATAATTGGGGACGAAACATTCGCTCAGTAGTTAGGGAATGACATGGTGTCTCAATAGTTGGAGGGGTTGGGGAGTGACACATTGGCTCAGTGATTAGGGAGATGATATAGTGTCTCAGTGGTTAGGGGACGACATGGTGCCTCAATAGCTACGAGGCGACGTGGCTCAGTGGTTAGCACTGCTGCCTCACAACGCCAGGGACCCGGGTTCGATTCCACCCTTGGGTGACTGTACAGAGTTTGTACATTCTCCCTGTGTCTGTGTGGGTTTCCTCCGGGTGCTCCGGTTTCCTCCCACAGTCCGTAAATGTGTAGGTTAGGTGGATTGGCCTTGCTAAATTGCCCATTGTGTCCAGAGATGTGCAGGCTAGGTGGGTTAGCCATGGAAAACGCAAGGTTACAGGGATCGGGTTGGGGGATGGGTGGGATACATTTCGGAGGGTCGGTGTGGATTCAATGGGTCAAGAGGCCTGCTTCCACACTGTAGGGATTCTATGAAAAATGTCAGCCAATTTGTATGCAGAAAATCCCAATGGACTGCAATGAGGTAATGACTGAACAATCTTTTTTTGGTGATTTTGGTTGAGGGATAAATATTGACCAGGACAGAGGCAAGAATTCTCTTACACTTCTTCCAAAAGTGCCAGGTGATCTGTTCTGTTCACCTGAGAAGGTGGACAGGACAGTTAGTTTAATGTATATTCTGAAAGAAGGACCTCTCTAACGTACCTCTCTCTGTCCTGCTTTGTGTTCAAATCTCATAATGAAAACTTGACCCTACCACTTTCCGATTCGTGGTGAGGGTTTATTCAGTAAGCAGACATTGTGAATATGTAAAATGGACACATTTAATATGTTCATTGCTGTACATCCTATGGGCTTTTGCTATTTTGCTGTATTTTAATTATATGTAATCGAAGCATTTTACATCCTGAAGAGCATTCCAGTAAATTTTTTGCATTGATGATATCTGCATTGGAAAATAACTGATCTCAGTCTTGGCAGCCTGTGGTTATTATGCCTTTGATGCAAAATGGTGAGATTTGTGAGATG